TCAGATATTTACATTATGATTCATAACAGTAGCAAAATTACAGTTATGAAGTAGCAATGAAAATAATTTTATGGTTGGGGTCACCACAACATGAGGAGCTGTATTAAAGGGTCGCGGCATTAGGAAGGTTGAGAACCACTGCTCTAGACAGTTCCAGGAGTTTGGTATTTGATGGCCATTCACAGTTTTGAGATGAGGAACTGAGCACAGAGAGGTCAGGTCATAGCCAGAGGACACACACATAGCAAGAGAGTGGCAGGCTGAGGATCCGAACCCAGACTGCCAGGCTCTTAAAGCCACTACTTTCAGCCACTGAAGCATGCTGCTCATTGCACTCCACACCTGTTATCCCACAAAGAACAGGTCAATATCATAAAGAAGAATGGAAGAGGAATCTGGGAGATGCTGCATTGTTGTTTCTAAACCTCAGTTTTCTCCTGCTCACATACCATCAGTGGCTCTCCAGTGCTCACCAGACCAATGCAGGGCCCTGAGTCCCCTAACCCCTATGTCACCCTCCTCCACCTGCTGCTAGCCACTTGTCCAGCCTAATGTTTCTGAATGCCTTACTCCCCCCCACACTGCTCTCTCTACTCAGCCCTTTCTCCCTCCCACAAGCCCAGCTCCTGATCCACAGCTGCCCAGCACTCACACTGCCAGGCCTCCCCAGGCAGGAGTGAGCAGTTGCCCCATCCCTCCCCAGGCTGGTGAGTTCTGGCTCTGACATCAGACACAGTCACTCCCAAAGGTCTAAGAGGTGCTGGCTTCTAATATTGTGATTGTTTTATCACATTTTTTTCCTTTTTAAACCCTTGTAGATATGTATGTATTGTAGAAAGTCTGGAAAACAGAAAAGCAGAATGGAAACAAAAGCTCTTAGAATCCTGCACCCTTCCCCAAGAGATAGCTGCTATTAATGTATATGGGGTCTGCTCGGCAGGCTTATTCTCTCTTTTTTGCCCTAGTATGCATAGTTTCAAAGCACTTATTTAAACTTCCATGGGCAATGGGAAGTCCCATCCAGGTACCTCTGCCTTGTTTGACTCCTGTATCCCCATGGCCTACAGCAGAGCCTGGCCTAGAGCAGGTGCTCACGTTTATAGGATGAAGGAGGGAGTGTGGTATGCAGTGTGCAGAGGTGGGGAGATTGCACAGACCAGAGAGGAGAAGGCCTTGCCCACCATCCAAAGCTTGAACCTCAGAGGCTGTGCTGTCCCCACAGGGCCAGGGAGGGGAGCCCTGGGGCCAGGATAGGGTGGAGAGGCGTCCTAGAGGGGTCAGGAGGCCCTGCCCAGCCACCTGCCCACCATTGGGCAGAGGAAGTGGAGGCTATCATGTCAGAATGCCTGAGGGCAGCTTCACTTAGGAGCCATTTACCACCTGCAGCAATTCCTGGAATTTGGAGATAGTCAGAAGACCCAAAGGGAGGGAGATTGGGGGGAGAGGTGCCCCACCTTTTTCTAAGAAGCAGAGAACCCAGACCCTTGGCATCTGGGGAGGCAAGAGTCTTATCTAAAGACTCACAGTCACAGAGCATTGGGTAGTATTGGTTTTTAGGGGATGCCCACTGCATGCCAGGCACTGGTCTAAACCTCACAGTCTCCAGGGCCACACCTCACACACTGATGTAGGGTGCTCATTAGAACCCAAGCCAGGCTGGGCCCTGCTCTCTACCCAACATTTGCATGGCTTCCACCTACTCAGAGAAAAAGCCAAAGTCCTCACAGTGGCCATAGCGCCAGAAGAGCCAGTGCCTCTCTGATCTCGTCTTCTGCTTACTCTGCTCTAGCCTCAGCCGCCTGACTGCCTTTAGACCTTTGCCCTTGCTAATCCTGCAGCCTGAGATGCTTCTCAACCAATTTAGCTACTTGGCTCACTCTCTTGCCTTCAGGTCCCTGCTCAGAAATCACCTCCTCCAAGAGGCCTTCCCTGACTACCCTTGTGTGACCTGCACCCCATAGACCTGCTCTAATGCAGTAGCCACCTACCGCGTGTGGCTCCTGGGCACTTGAAGATGTGCTATGAGGAGCAAATACTCATTGGATTCCAGACCTACTATTATAAAAATGTAAAATAGCTCGCTAACAATTTTTGTGATTCCATGTTGCCATGATAATATCTGGATTTGTTGGATTAAATATATTATTAACATTAATTTTATTTGATTTTCCTTACTTTTTTCAAAGTGGCCCTGAAAAAAATTTAGAATGACATGGGTGGCACCTTCACTCTGACCTTTTTTTCTTTCTAGCACTCATTCCACCTGTGGCATTACAGGCTCACCTGTCTGCTTATTAGCGGCAAGCCCCAAGAGGAGGACACAGATGTGTGCCTGCCCCTCTGCTGTACCCCTGCACGCATAGCAGTTGTTGTCAAGTGCATCAAGTGCCTGCTCTGTACTGTGCTGCACTAGCTTCGTTCCTGAGTGTGGCTCTTTGTGTCCCTCAGTTTGGGTCTGTCTGGTGTTTCCTCATGATTAGAATGAGGTTATGCACTTTGGGCAAGAATGCCACAGAGGTGCTTCTGTGAGCAACTTATCAGAGGCATACGGGCATCCTTTCTTGTTCACCTCTGCTCTCATTTACATGTTTATCTACATTGATCCCATTCCATAACTTACTGCTTGGTTTGATCTGAACTTGGGATGAGGGTGGAAAGTCAGGGCAGGAGTTCTGGAGCTCATGGGGAGGGAGAGATTCAGGTCCAGACACCATGCCTGGCTCACTTTGTCCTGCATTTTACTGTCTGTCTTCTGTCTGCCCAGAGATTCAGATGGGCTTCTGGAGGGTGTACTGGGAGCTCCAGTAGGTGGGAGAGGCTGGGAAAGCAGACACCTGGGCTGACTCACACCTTAGCTGAGCAACATAATTGAATGAGCCCTGGAGAGGAATCCCCACCTTTCACTGGTCTTGTGAAGGTGGTAGAAATGGAGGAGCCGGGCCAGACTTGGATAAGAGTTCTCTTTTCGGGTGGAGACTTGGGCCAGAAGGCCTGGCCCATGTCCTTGAGGGGATCTTAGAGAAAACCAGCAAAGCCAGGTGAATGACAGGGGTTGGTCAGAGAGGACAGTAGGATTCCAGAAGTGAGTGTGCCCTCTGCCTGGGCTGGTCAGGGTTCCCAGAGGAGGTGACATTTTCCTTGGGAAGGAATGCTGAGTGGGGCCTGAGGTCAGTGCTGCAAAGGCATGGAGGGGTAGGAGTGAGCAAGGAAGCAGAGAAGCTGGAGCAATGAGGCCCCTGGTGGTGGTGGGAGCTGAGCCGAAGGGGTTGTCAGGGGCCCAGCTGCACTGGACTCTGCTGGCCCCGGGGTTCTGCTGCTCCATGTCTGCCCAGAATGGGACCCGAGGACCCATGGCACCCCTGCTGAAAGCATGCTGGGAAGTCAGCCAGCCTCTGACTCCTCTCTGGTGCCCGGGATGTCTGTCCAGCCACAGCCTGCACACCTCCCAGCACAGCTCATGACTGGGGCAAATATTCCCCTCAGGCCAAGCTGAGTGTGTCCTCTTGTGACCTCCACTCTCCTCCTTCCCCTAGTCTGCTCGGAGCTGCCTGGAAAGATGAGACAGTGACAGGGCCCTGAAGAGACTGGACAGTGACAGGGCCCCAGAGCTGCTCCTCTCTAGGCAAGATCCCTGAAATCTTAGCTGCTTCTCACAGCCCCACCTTCAGCCTGGCCTCTTCCCAGGGGACTCCCAGCCTATCTCTGTACCCAGTGCAGGGAGATGCAGGGGAGGGAGGAGGAAGCCCCGCCCTGCAGAGCACAGGGTAGTGTTCTAAGACTCTGGGCATGTGATGCCCTTCTCTTAACCTCCTTTGGGAAGTGGGTGTGAATACCAGAATTTGCCTCCCAAGGTAATGGTAAGGCTGGGCCCCAGTTGTGGCTGATTGGGTGTATTCCCTTGTTCCTGGGGAGCTGGGTTCTGAGTGTGGGCCTCCAGGCAGGCAGGCAGGCAGGCCTAGCCCATTGAAGGGGGTGTTTGCAGGATATGAAAGGATGGCTGGGTCTGGAATTATCTTCTCTTGCTGCATGTTGGGGACAGGGAGGCAAAGTGGGGGGCAACCAGGAAACCAGGAGCAATTTAACACCTGCACATAATTATCAAATTATCTGCCTTCTGGAAATTATTTTATCTTAATATTTTATTTGGATTAAAATAAAATGAGAGAAGGACCCAGAGAGCCTGGAAAGGAGGCATCTGGGAGCTGGGGCCACCAGAGTCACAGACCCTTGCTATTCTGTCACAGCACTGGGGTTTGCTTGGCCATTGTGAGAGGCTGTCCAGTTGCTCTAGGGAAAGGTGGAAGCCTGGTGAAGGCAACGGAGATCCCACACTGCTCCAGGGAGGACGTGCGTGTGTGCACACATGTCCGAGTGTCTCAGAGGAGAGCCTCCTGTGCAGTGACAACAGCCACAGAGCAGGTGCTCATAGTGCACACCCAGACCCTCACCCAACCTGAAGCCCAGGGCTAAACTCAGGAATCTTCCTTTTTATCAACCCTTATTTTTAACTTCCCGGAACAAGTGACCCAAGACTCATACACATCCTAAAGTTTGAAAATCACTACCATAATTTGGCATTTGAGACTTTACAACAGTCAGATTCTTTGGGCTGTTTTAAATCTTTAGAATTCTGGATTATTCTGATTTTAGGGGAAAGGAAAATGTTTAAAATTGTTACAACTTCCAGGTGTTTTGACTTTTAAGAACCATTCAAACTCCAGAATGTTCAGATGTTTTAGGGGAGGGTCTTTCATATGTCAGACTCTACACATCCTGCAAAACTTCTGCCCTCCCCATATCGACCCCGCCAGTCTTCTTCTTCATTTAATCAGATACCTCTTCAAAAAAAACTTACTTTAGACTAGCTGTAGACTTAAAAAGATAGTACAAAGATTTCCTGTAAAGCCTTCATCCAGCTTTCCCTAATGTTGATATTTGGAAAAACATAAATGTAATTATTAAAGCCAGGAAATTAACATGGATAAACTACCAGTACTCACCCTGAAGGCCTTACATGCATTTTGCCACTTTTCACACCAAAGTCCCTTTTCTGGCCAGAATCTGCTCCAGAATCCCGAATTGCCTTCAGTTGTGTCTCCTTCATCTCCACCATTTTAGGACAATTCATTAGTCTTGTTTTGTCATTTATATTTTGTTTTATATTTTGAAAGAATGCTGGTCAGTTGTTTTGTAAAATGACTTACAGTTTGGGTCTGTCTGGTGTTTTCTCATGATTAGAATGAGGTTATGCACTTTGGGCAAGAATGCCACAGAGGTGCTTCTGTGAGCAACTTATCAGAGGCATACGGGCATCCTTTCTTGTTCATCTCTGCTGTCATTTATATTTTTATCTAAATTGATCCCTCTTCATAACTTACCGCTTGATTTAATCTAATCACAAGAAATACTACCCCCAAATTGTGATGGGTTTGATATGCTATAGCCATTAAAATAAAAAGAAAATTTTTTCTTTACCACTTAAAATCAATTCAGTGCCCTCCAGGGCTGTGTGTATCGTGTGTATCACTTTTGACAAATGTTGTTTTAGATTGTATAGGCTCTTTGGAACTGCACAAAGTTGATTTGGGTATTTTAATTATTATTTTTTTCAAAAAGTCATCAAAACCATCAGATTGTTCACCTACTTAATCTCTCTTGGATTCAGTAGCTGAGAACTCGTAGAAGGTTAGGCATGAGCCCTCTAGCTTGACCTTCTGACCTGGCTTCCTTAGCTTCCCAATGGCCTGGAAAGCCATGGCTTGTAAGTGACAGATTTCTTGGAACCAAGAAATCTTGGCTTATTTTGTAGCTTTGGGCTGAGGTCCTGGACTCTGCCACTTTATCGAGCCCCTCCCCCCATAGATGAGGACCCCACTCATACTGAAATTTCCCTGTACCCTTGGCGTCCTGCAGAGGTGTTTATTATATGTCAGCTGATATATAAATTTTTAATAGGAAAAGCAGAGAGTTCTGAGAAACTATGGGGTCTGCTTCCCAAAAGTAAACCGTCAAATGCAAGCTCATGCAGATATCTCTGGAAGCTGCCGTGTAAGCCCAGGCCACCGCTTCTGTGCCCACCACGCCAGAGCCACATCGACTCTGCCTCACAGTCTTACAGGAATTCCACTTGCTAGACACTTCTTACTGCACTAGACAGGGACAGGGTCCTGGGAAACACTGCTCCCAGCCTTGTGGTATGCCAGGGGAACCACAGCTAATCCACCACAGCCAGGTGTGTCCAGTTGGCATTCTAAGACAGTGTAACACAAGCATGTCAAACTCTCCACCCGCGGGCTGCATGCAGCCCACAACAAATATGTTTGCAGCCCAGTCAATATAACGGTATGCAAGAAATGTTTTAATAAAAATTTTGTAACTTAATTTTACAATATCCTGTTATACATAATTATTAACTAACTACAACATTCGCTAATGACTGATTACTATAATTGTGTTGCATTCATTTCCCTTACACGCCTTACGTACAGATGCACCATTTCTCTCCACTGATACTGGCAGTGAATATTTAGCAGCTGATGGCCATGTCATTAATCTTGGACTGACTTGATTGGTGTGCACAACAGGAAACATTTCGCTTTCAGAGAACAAGAAAAATAGGTTTATTTACATTACGCTTATTAATTTGTGTAGTTATTCAGTGTCTGGTAAGTTAATGTTCAAGAAAAAATATTAATTTTTATTAAAATGTTCTATTACTGAGGAGAGGGAAAATGGCGGAGGTTTAGACGGTCGTGTCGGTGCTTTGTCCCGGAGCAGATAAGGGCGAGCAGCTGAAACGGGTAACATACAGCCCGAGTAAGCAGAGGAGATTCAGCTGAGAGACAGTCTGCAGCCAGGAAAGACAGAGAACTCCTAGAAAATGGGGACGGTTAGAGATTGAGGCTGAAACCTCCCCCGGGGCGCCGGCTCAGCCGCGAGACCGCGCCATCTTGAGTAGCTGTTACCGGCATCCAGAGATCGGCTACTAACCCGGAAGCAACGGCTCTCAAGCAGCGAGACTACATGAACTCAGACAAGCCCTGCTTCTCCCCACGGAAAGGTTAGACTTCCCCCAAAGGTGCGGTTTGCAATTCAGGTTGGAGAGAGGAACGCGTGCGGGGGGAAATCTGCGCCCCACAAAGTCCGTGGCCGTTGGGGCCAGTGTGACCCACAAGTGGGGAAGGGCTCCTGCAGGGCTGCTGGCAGAAGGGAACTCTATAAATAAGCCCATAGTTGGACTGGATGCAAAGGGGCAGCCTCAGATTTTGCCAGCTGGCCGGCTACTTGGTGCCAGGGGCCAGAGCGCGGGCAGAGACTCCGCGCAGATCTGGAAGGTGGAGCCCTGCGAGTTCTCACAGCTTCCCAGGCTCTTGTTTACACACTTCCTCTTAAATCTGTGAGTTTGACTATTGAACCCAGTGCATGGGATTACCCAGTTGGGGTCACTAGCAGAGCCTGTAGGGGAAGGTTGTTTTTGGGGAGCCTGGGAAACAGAGCTGGGAGTGGCGACTGGGGAACCAGCTCTGAGCGGAGCTGGTTCAGGTACAATAGAGAACTCCTGGTCAGAGAGGACTTATAGCCTCGGAGGTCAATCCAGACATACTGCCACCCAGAGGCAGAGCCACGAACTGACTCTTCTGTAAATACAGATAAAGGCAGTATAGGGAACCAATACGGCCTGCCTTAAAATCAGGACTGTGGCTTACAACACGGAGGAACAGTGTATCAGAGGGAAATTCAACATTCTCCTGAATTCCTGGCGTGCCAAAAAGAAGAGTAGAAGATCTGAAGCACCTTCATTACTGCACATTTTTATTTTTATTTTTTTAAATTATTTTTTCACCTTTTAACTAAGAAACCATTTTTTTCTTTTTTTTCTTTCTTTTTTGTTCTTTTGTTCATCACCTGATTTTACCCTTTTAATTACTACATTTTTATTTTTAACTAGTATTATTACTGCTACCATTTTACCATTTTTTAAAGTGTCATTTTATTTTCTCTTTATTTTATTTTGGGACTAATGTTCTCCATTCTATTTTCATCGTTCCTTTAGCAACATTTTTCTCTACCTCAATTTTGCCTCTGTGCTAAAACCCTCTTCCCCACTTTTTCCCTTTGGTTGTCCTGTTTCTCTTACCCTACTCCAGCTTTAGATTTTCCCTACTCTTTTTACCCACTGTCAAAATTTCACCCTACTTATATATCCTATTTCCAATCCCCTGCTCTAAATCCTTATACACCTTTCCCTTATCTTTCTTCACTATCCAAATTTTTTTTCTTCTTTTCTCTCTCTATTGTTTTATTGTTGTTTGCTTGATTGTCGAGTATATTGGGGTTTTTTTTAGGATTGTTTGTGAGGTTATTCTGCTTATTCTTTTTATTTTTCTGCCTTCTGCCCCCCCCCCCCCCCCCCGCCGGTTATTTTTGTGCTTCTGTTTTCCCTTGCGTCGCTTGATATTATTGGTTGTTTGTAGTTTGTATTCATCTCCAGGAATCTGTTGCTGTAATTTGTTGGGATTAGTGGCGGTTCTATAGGAGTTTTCTCCTCATATAGTCTCTTCCCCTCTTCTACTTCATTCTCTTTTCTCTCTTACTTTTTCTTTCTTCTTCTTTTTCCCCCTCCCTTTTTCCAATTTCATTTTTGCACTCCTTTTTCTTTCTTTCTTTCTTTTTTCTCTTCAATCTTTTTCTCTTCTTTCTTCCTTATCTCCTAACTCTCTTAGCTTGGGTGGCCACCTTTATTTAGGGTTATTAATATCGTAAATACATTCGTGTTCAGTGCCTGGTATGTTGTGCCTTGTTGTGTTGTATTTTGTGCCTTTAAATCAACGCAGCAGATCCAAGCAACAGCGGCCCCCTGATCACTGCAGCCTCCTGATCACCACACCGTCCGTCTGGGGAACAGTTACTGTGTGTGAAGCCTCCCTCCACCAGTCAGAAGAGCCACCACAGCTGTGAGCAGCACCCACCAGAGGCCCTGCTATCAACGGAGGAGCCACTGCTAGCACAACCGCCCAAGGAGCAACCACAGCCCGAGGAGCCACTGCCACCCAGGGAGCAGCCACTGCCACCTAGGGAGCAGCCACTGAATGACTCAACAACTAAATATGTCAGTGAGATCAAACATGGGTAGACAAAGAAACCCTCAAAGGAAAGAAAAGAAGGACTCGCCAGAAAAGCAGCTAAGTTAGACAGAGGCATGCAACATGATGGAAAAAGAATTCAGAATAAGGGTCCTAGAGTGCATACACCGGATGGAGAAAAAATCAATACCATATGCGACAAGATAGAAGAAACAGATGAAAAAATCAACAACTTAAGTAAGACCCAAGAAGAAATGAAGAGTGATATAGCTGCAATAAAAAACACCATTGAAAGCATCAACAGTAGACTAGGAGAAGCAGAGGACCGAATTAGTGAATTAGAAGACAAGGAAGCAAAACACACCCAAACTGTACTGCAATTGGAGAAAAAAATTAAAAGACATGAGGAGAGCCTAAGGGAGCTTTGGGACAACATGAAACGAAACAACATACGAATAATAGGGGTGCCAGAACAACAGAAAGAGGAACAAGGATTAGAAAACCTATTCGAAGAAATAATATCAGAAAACTTCCCTGAGGTGGGGAAGAAAAAAGTCACACAAGTACAGAGAGTCCCAAACAAGGTGAACCCGAAAAGACCCACACCAAGACACATCATAATTACCATGGCAAATGTTCAGGACAAAGAGAGAATCTTACAGGCTGCAAGAGAGAGATGGAAAGTTACATACAAGGGATCTCCCATTAGATTATCAAATGATTTCTCAACAGAAACACATCAGGCCAGAAAAGAATGGGCGGAAATTTACAAAGTGATGCAAAGCAAGGGACTGAATCCAAGAATACTCTATCCAGCAAGGCTATCATTCAAAATTGAAGGGGAAATAAGAAGCTTCACAGACAAAACAAGGCTAAGGGAGTTTATCACCACCAAGCCAGCCATGCAAGAAATGCTAAAGGGACTGGTGTAAAAAGAATAAATAAAAAGCTCAGAAAGAAAACAGCCACACACAAACAAGTACCTTTCAATAATAACTTTAAACGTAAATGGACTAAATGCTCCAACCAA